GCTGGAATTAAAGGCATTCACCACCATGCCTGTTGCAAATGCAGATGTTAAATAAAAGCAGAAGTTTCCAGTTGTGTTATTTATCAATATTTATTTTTATTATTTTTTAGTTCGCAAACATAATGGTTTTTATTGTGAGATTCCCTTATATTTTACATAGCTCGTTTACCTTCCCACCACCCTCTCACACCTCTTTCTCTCTAGGCCCCTGTTGTGTGTGCGCCTGAAGATCAGAACAGGGCTTTGGATGTCACCCTCCATCACTCTCCGTTTTTTTGATTTGAGGCAGAGGTCTCATGTTTTCTTGGTTAAGCCAGAAGCCTCACCCATTCTCCTGTTTCTGCCCCCCTCACACATGGCAGCTCACAACTGGCTGTAACTCCAGTTCCACAGGCCCTAATGATCTCTTTTGACCTCCACAGGCACCAGGCAGGTATATGGCACACAGACAAAACACTCAGACACATAAAATTAAATACATCTAAAAATAAAAAATGTTAAAGCTAGGCGCAGTGACTCAGGACTTTAATCCTAGAACTGGGGAGGCAGAAGCAGGTGGATCTCTGTGAGTTCGAGGCCAACCTGGTCTACAGAACTAGTTCCAGGGAAGGCTCCAAAGCTACAGAGAAACCCTGTCTCAAAGCCCACCCTCCACAAGAGAGAGAACTTAAAAATAAATTATATTAACACGTTTTATTAACATATAATATTCATTATATGTAACTAATATATAATTACCATCAGCTTCTGTGGTATTGTTGAAATTGGTGTTAATTAGCATGAAAGAGGAAAAGGGAGGCTACAGAATTATATCTGTACTACCATTTTGATTTTCAAAATGACACTATTATAAGAGATGTATGCAAATTTCTCATACACAGGGAAAATAGTTTGGGGGGAAAACCGAAGCACATCCAAATGGTCATGGTGGATTTTCTTCAAGAGACAACAAGTCCTTTACTTTTCTTCCTGATACTTTTCTATATTTGGGGAGTAAGATGAGCTCCCATTTTTCACAATCTCGGGAGAGCAACGAGGCTGTTTCTGAGGTCGTGATGACTGCATCTGTTGCGGTGCCATTACATATTACTATTAGTTAATTTTCAAACAAACAGCATCAATGTTTCAGCTGTGCTCAGCCAGACAGAGGCTCTGGACGGCACTCTGGACTTGGCCCAAGGCCGCTAGTTTCTCAGCACACACAGATGTCTTGTTTCCATGCACACACAGATGTCCTGTTGCCCTGACGGTCCTGCAGATGTGGCTGTGAACATCTCTGACCATCTGACCATATAGAGCCTAGCTGGGTTTCCGGTTTTCGGCCTCAGAGTGTCTCTGTTCCCTGTTGCTTCACTAAACACACTCTGGCCTTGGGCTGATGGTTGAGTAGGCAAAGAGCTTGCTGCTAAGCCTGGTGATCAGAGTTCAATCCCCAAGAGCCACTCGGTGGAAGGAGAGAGCTGACTCCTTTGAGCTGTCCTCTGACTTTCATTGTGTGCCATTGAATGCTCCTTTCCTCCCACCCCAATAAATGAACAAATGCTTAAAAAAAACCACTGTGTCCCAGTGTGGAGGTGCACTCCTTTAATCCCAGCATGGGAGGTATCAGCAGGTGGATGTCTTGTGAGTTCAAAGCCGGCCTGCTGTACATAGCAAGTTCCAGGCTAGCTAGAGTAACATAGTGAGAGTCTGTCTCAAAACAAACAAAAAAATCAAAAGCAAAACAAAATGCATATGCACACGAAACCAACCAACCTGTTTCCATGTTGCTGTCCTTTACCCTAGTAGTGCCTTGGGGAGCATACAGACAGACGCCTGGGACCTCAGGAGCGATACAGCACTTTAAGTACACCATGAAGAGATTTGGCAAAGGCTGTGTACAGTTCTCTGCTCAGTTAATCCATCTATCTGTCTTCAGCTTTCTGCTAATTTTCCAAGTCATCTATTTTTATTTTTTTTAATATTTACCACAGCATACGAATAAACTTTGGGAGCCCATTCCACATGAAGGGATGCTCTCTCGGTCTGGACACATGGGGGAGGGCCTAGGCGCTGCCCTGGATGACATGACAGACCCTGGAGATTCCCCATGGAGGGCCTCACCCTCCCTGGAGAACGGTGTGGAGATTGGGTGAGGGACTGGGGGGCTGGTGGAGGGGCAAGGGAGGAAGGGAGGGAGAGGGAGCTAGGATTGACATGTGAAGCAAGCTTGTTTCTGTGAGTTTGAGGCCAGCCTTGTCTACAGAGCGAGTTCCAGGACAGCTAGAGCTGTTACACAGAGAAACCCTGTCTTGAAAAACAAAAACAACAACAACAAAAGTTTTTTTTGTTTTTGTTTGTTTGTTTGTTTTTTTTTTAGATAGGGTCTCACATATAACCCTGGCTAGCCTGGAACTCATTATGCAGATCAGAGTGGCCTGTCTCTGCATCTCACATGCTGGGATTAAAGGCTTGCTTTGTTTCATGAACAGGGCTCTGTGACAGGTGCTTAAAGGAGCTGGAAAAAGCACAGTCATCCTTTGGTGTCTGAAGGGCCTGGTCCTGAGCCTCTCACTGGCAGGTACCAGAATCCTGAGATCCTCACACCGCTTATGTCTGTCATATGCTTACAAAATACACACACTAAACATAAACTTAAATCCTCTTTAGATTGCTTACAGTTCATAAAACAATATGAACACCATGTGGACAGTTGTGTGTGTGCGTGCATGTACGTGCATGCATGATTGAACCTGGAGTTCACAGTTTCAGCTAGACTGGCTGGCCAGCCAGGTTCTCCAATTCCTCCTGTCTCTGCCTCCCCAGGGGTGGGATTATATACACCACCGTAACTGGATTTTATGTGAGTATTTGGGGGTCCTCGTGCTTGTGTAGTGAGAACTTTACAGCTGAGCCATCTCTTCAAGCCCCTTCGGCCAGTATGTGGTTCTGAGCCATCTCTTCAGCCAGTATGTGGTTCAAGCTCCCTTCTTATCTCTTCTCCCAATTTCTGCTCTTTTCCTGATTTCTTCACAGCAGGTTTCACACCAGAAGCAGACTTCTGCTCTCCTTTCTAGAGCGACAGGTTCCTGAGCACAGACTATCAGTTGTCTAGAAGTTTAGCAGAATCACTATCTGTTTTTTTTTTTAAAAGAAGTCCTTTGACCTTGAAGAAACCTTGTGGAAAACAGTGATTGTTTTGCTGAAGGGGCTTTACAGCCATCCCATGACATTGATGTCTCAGGCTCACCTGAGGCTCTTGTATTATTGTGTATTGCAAACCGTACACGATAAAGACTAGAGTCATGGGGCATGTGATGCCCTCCTTTAGTAAGACTTGTAAATTAGCTTAGGGGCCTTGGTATGAGCAAATCCTTTGTGTAACACTTAATAAATACACCTGTGTAAGGCTGTTCGGGTTCAGTCCATCAGAAGAGACTGGACCTTCCTGCTGCTACACAGACTTAAATTTTCATCTTGGAGTGTCTTCTTTCTTCAACCGACCCTCGATACACGGTGCAACCCGACAGCCAGCCTTCCAGCCCTTCCACTCCCTGAAGGCCTGATACAAGCAGGCGCTTCATAAGTAGTTGGGGAGTAGTTAAGCTAAAAACACACCATCTGGTCTCAATGCAGGGCAGCATTTCATTAAAATTCAATGACTCAAACTTGTTTCAAATAAGATTCTTGGGTTCAGGTGTAGTAGCTCTCAATACTTGGGCACTTGAAGCAGCAGGATTTCAGGATCAAGGGCAGCATGAACTATAGTGAGACACTGTCTCAAAAGCCAAACAAGGCCGGGCGTTGGTGGCGCACGCCTTTAATCCCAGCACTCGGGAGGCAGAGGCAGGCAGATCTCTGTGAGTTCGAGGCCAGGCTGGACTGACAGCCTCGAAAACAATACAGAGAAACCCTGTCTCAAAAAACCACAAAAAAAAAAAAAAGCCAAACAAATCCCAAATCCGGGGGTGTAACTTAGTTGGTATAGGGCACACATATAGTCTCAGCATTCTAGAGATAGAGGCAAGAGGATCAGAAGTCCAGAGTCACTCTCAGCTACATAGTAAGTTCAAAGCTAGTCTGGGCTACTTTAGATTCACTGCTTGGGTCCTTATTGGTCTGTTGTTATTTTAAAAGATGTTTATTTATTGTGAACATAGTGTTCATTCTGCCTTTATGTATGCCTGCAGGCTAGAAAAGGGCACCAGATCTCATTATAGATGGTTGTCAGCCACCATGTAAACACTCAGGACCTCTGGAAGAGCAGCCAGTACTCTTAACCTCTGAGCCATCTCTCCAGCCGCCCCCTCAACCCCGGTGCTATTTTAAATGAGTTCCCAGGTGACTCTGTTGCTCTTGCTCATTCTGGATCTGACCAGGCTTAGTTTGACTTCAACCTGTGTATAATCTGGCCAAGACCTCGGCCAGGAGAAGCTGGCCTCCATCATCACCACTTGGCAGGGTCTCACTTTGTGGCTCTGGCTGTCCTGGCACTCATGTAGACCAGACTGGGTTATAATTCACACAGATCCATATGCCTCTCCCTCGTGAGCACTGAGATTAAGTGTGTACACCACCACATTCCTACTATCACTATTATTCTGCCCAACAGATACTCCCTGCCCCCAGGACTTTCACTTTTGGGAACTTCTCAAAGTGGGGCCCTAGTGAATATGTCTGGGAGCCAGTTGGAAACTCGGAATCCCTGGCCTGTTCCAGATTGGCTGAACTGAAATCTGTGCTTTTTCAAGCTTCCAAGGTGATTTCTTTGCATATTCAATTTGAAAAGCATCACTGCAGTTGGTGTCTGTTGTTTTCCTCCTGTCTTTCATTTCAGGAGTCTGCAGCAGAGGTTCTGTGGCCCTGGCCTTCCTGAATCGCCAGCTGACTCTCTCCCCTCTGAGTGTGAGACAGAACCTTCAACACGGTCTGGCACACCTCTGGCTGCTCAATTCAGCAACGCTCTTAAAGGCCCCGAGCTCCTTCGGGGAGCTGTGCACAAGCAGCCGGGCAGGCAGGGGATGGATCTACCTCCCGTCTTGCTTTCTCCTCAGTCCCAGACCTGCACCCACCTGGCAGAAACCTGCATGGAACGCGAGAGAAGCCCACCCACAGCAGAGCTGGGCAGAGACTCCTTTCCCAGTGGTCAGCTGCCCAGCTCCAGTCTCGCTGATGCCGACTGGTTTTGGGATGAGCACATCCAGGCAAAGAGGGCCAGAGTAGAGACGATTGTCCGAGGCATGTGTCTCTCTCCTAGCCCCGTGGTGCCAGGCAGTGCACGAGCCAGGGAGAGCTCATGCTGTCCTGAAAAAGCCCGGGAGCGGAAGAGGAAGCAGAGCCTTCCCACGCACCAGGGTCCCCTGAAATCAGGTCCTGCCTGGGATCGCGGGCCCAAAAAGAGGGGAACCCGGGTGAAGGAACAGCTCCATCTATTGAAGCAACAGCTAAGACATCTGCAGGAACATGTCCTACAGGCCACTGAATCCAGAGCACCAGCGCAGGGCCCGGGAGATACTGAGCAGAGAAGCCCCCCAAGGGCAAAGCAGAGGAACAGCTTCCTGTCTAGCCCCTGGACAGTGGAGATAAAACCCCACCAGAGTTCTAGCAAGGACGTCTATGGAGCAGTAAAGCCCAGAACCGCTGAGGTTCAACAGCAGGCGGAGGAACCCATGCTCCATCCTTCTGGACCTCGGGCTTTAGTGGAGACTCTAAGGAAAGAACTAAACAGGGCCGTGTCCCAGGCTGTGGACTCAGTATTACAACAGGTTCTACTGGACCCACCAGACCACCTGACCCGGCAGGAACAGAGCTGCCAGGGGCTAGCCTCAGAGGGCAGAAGCCAGCCTTCACCTCCAGGGAGAAGTGCCCATAGGGAACCATTAGCTCTTGCCACCCTGCCTAGGAGGGTCCAGCCGCAAGCGGGGGCTCCCTTGGGCAATTCATCACTGGCTACGCCTCTAGATTCTCCTATGTGTCCTGTCTCTCCAAGAGCAGTTCCCAAACCATATCAGAGCCCCCTAGCAAACTGTCCGCTGACAGCCGTGCCTTCCCACATGTGGGAAAATCAGATTCTTAGCCAGCTTCTGGGTCGTGGGCCCGATGGCCATTGGAGTGGCAGCCCTCCCCAGGACGTTTCGTCCCAAAGTCGCCCCTCCCCAGAGTCCGCCCAGCAACCTTGGGTTTTGAGTCAGCAGCAGCCCGCCCTGTCTTTCACCTCTGTCCACCTGGAAAGCCGGCCTCTCCTACCCCCTGTGAAGATGGAGCAGGGTGTGCTGCAGGGCATGGCTGACATGATTTCTTTCTCTTCCATCCACATATCCTTTACTGGTCGTTAATGCGTCACCACCCAGAGAAACAGGAAAAGCAGAATATGAGGAGGAAGTGGGGGACAAATATCCATGTTATACAGGAAATGGCCTGGAACTCACAATATACTCCATCTGGCCTTGAATCTTGGCAGTTCTCCTGCTATAGCCTCCAAAGTGGTAGGATTAAAAGTATGAGCTATCATGCCTGGTTCTCAGGGTTTACTTAATATGCTTTTGGCTTTTCTTCCTTGTGCCTCAAAGCCTATTAGTTTGTTTTGTTTTTTTTTTGGGTTTTTACGAGACAGAGTTTCTCTGTATTGTTTTGGAGGCTGTTGGTCAAGCCTGGCCCCGAACTCACAGAGATCCGCCTGCCTCTGCCTCCTGAGTGCTGGGATTAAAGGCGTGGGCCACCACCGCCCGGCGCCTATTAGTTTTATAACCAAGTGGAAACCATATTCTAGGATTTAGATATGATAGGACAGTTCATTTACTTTATGAAACATCAGATTCTGCCATAACTGACTTGTACCTTTGGGTCTGACATGGTTTTGTTTGCTTGCTTATAAGCTCAATTGGACTTCCAAAACAAAGAGAAATGCCCCCACAGAAGGCAGAACACTATATAACTGGGCTACCAGCTGCCATTCTCCCAGGCAGAGAGGGTCAAAGGAGTAACCTCATCTGAGGTATGGCCTCCCCAAACCTCCTAGTCCTAAACACAGAAGGTCTGCATAGCCCAGATAGTCATGATACATAAGGGACCAAGAACTAAGGGGTGAAAGGATAATTTCCCTCAGAGAATCAACCCCTCAGAAGCAGCTGGAAGGATGAGAAACTTTCAGCTTAAGAGAAAGCTGTCACCTATGTCCCAGCACTTGGACACAGAGGCAGGTGGATCTCTGAGTTCAAGGCCAGTCTGAATCTTTCTGTACTATGTTTATGATTATCAGGAGAGGCCCCCCTTTCTTTTTATTTTTCTTTCTTTTATTTTCTGTTTTGGTTTTGGAAGACAGTGTTTCTCAGTATAGCTCTGGGTGTAGTCACTCTGTAGACCAGACTGGCCTTGAAATAAAAGCTTCACACCTGCCTCTGCCTCCAGAGTGGAGATTTTCTGCCCAGCTGGAAATTGTTAAGTTAGAAGAAAATGTAGCTCAGGTAACTACTTGGTTCTTTTCTTTTCCTTTCTCTCTCTTTCTTTGTTTTTCGAGACAGGGTTTCTCTGTGTGGCTCCTGGTTAGTTTCTTAACTGTGTGATTTCCCAGAGCTTTTATTATGCTCAAGTCAGAAGTAAAGCTTCTCTTAGGGGTTTAGAACCTTTTCCAGCAAGCATCTTGGAGGACCAGTGTACCAGAAAGCAGATTTTGGATGTTACTTTTAGCAAGCTGTGGGTGGGAAGCTTCTCACTGACCTCGTGAAGCCTTCAGGTTACTGGATCTGAAGCCCTATGTTCAGGTGTGAACAATCCTGTCTGCCTGGTGGCTTCAAGGCTCTAAGCCCTGGGGGCCAGCGCCAGCCCTTGTGTCTTAAGTGCTATGAGTGCCCCCTGCTGGTTCATTGTGGTAGGAACACCCCAAAGCTCAGGTTTCCCTGGAAGGCAGAGAAACACTAAAGCAATGTTAAGAAACATTTTATTCTTCACCACTCCCTCTTTGTTTGGGTTATAAGGATATTTTTATCCAGACTAGAAATGGTAAATTCTACCTGTTGGGTCTTTGATAAGTTATCACTGGCTTAGGCTCCGTATTAAAAAAATTTTTTTTGAGACAGGGTTTCTCTGTGACTTTGGAGCCTGTCCTGAAACTCACTCTGTAGACCAGGATGGACTGGAACTCAAAGAGATCTGCCTGCCTCTGCCTCCCAAGTGCTGCGATTAAAGGTGTGAGCCACCACCACCAGGCCTCCGATCCTTCTTTTTTATTTTTAATTTTTGGTTTTTCAAGACAGGGCTTCTTTGTGTAGCACGGGCTATCCTGGAACTAGCTCTGTAGACCATGCTAGCCTTGAATTCAAAGATGTCCACCTGCCTCTGCTTCCCAGGTGCTGGCAGTAAAGGTGTGTGCCACCACCTGGGGACAGACCCTTCTTAAGAAGACTGGTTCTTGGGACTGGATAGATGGCTCAGTGGGTAGGAGTGCTTGCTTCTCAAACATGAGGCCTGAGTTGTAGTTTCCAGCCTACACACACACACACACACACACACACACACACACACACACACACACACACACACACACACACACACAGAGACAGACACAGAGTCAGGCAGGGCTGCAGGTGCCTGTAAGTCAATGGCAGAGACAGGTGGACCCTGCTTGAGAGCTTGCAGGCCAGCTGCCCTGGCTGAAATGGCGAGCTTCTGTTTCAATGGGAAAACTTCAACCCCAGCAGAAGACAGTCCTCAGATCACTAATACTTTTAGGCACCTACATATGCTTGTCCCTGCCTGGGGACATGAGGACGAACTTTAAGTTTGGGGTCCTACCCAGCAGCCCAGTTCTGACTCTGCTGTCAAAGCACAGTGGATGCACTTTGCAATGACCAGGGGCTCCCAGGGAGCGTCCTGTCACCCTCTCCTTCAATTGTCTCCTGCCCTTGCTGCCTGTAGTATGCACTGTTGCTCTCTATGGGCCATGAAAGTCACACAAAGTAGGCTTCTTTAAAAGGAAGTGTGCACAGCACCATACATCCCTAGCAGCCAGGCAGGGTAATAACGATTGGCAATATTCGAAGGCTTTCTCTGTGGCAGGTAGATCACACAAACATGCCCACAATCACACCATGCCACACCCAAATGCTCCATGGTCAATCGAATATTGCTTGGTGGCACAACTTATTGGAGGCTATTTATAGACTTTCTCCCATTCAGCCCCTGCTGCCATATTAGCCTCTTTTGTTTACATTTTATGTGAATTGATATTTTTCATGCATGCATGTCTGCATGAGGGTGTTAGATTCCCTGTAACTGGAGTTACAGACAGTTGTGAGCTGCCATGTGGGTGCTGGGAGTTGAACCCTGGTCTCTGAAGAGCAGTCAGTGCTCTTAACTGTTGAGCCATCTCCCCAGCCCTACATTAACCCTTTATAAAATGAACTCACGCCGGGCGGTGGTGGCGCATGCCTTTAATCAAAGCACTCGGGAGGCAGAGGCAGGCGGATCTCTGTGAGTTCGAGGCTAGGCTGGACCGACAGCCTCCAAAACAATACAAAGAAACCCTGTCTTGAAAAACCAAAAAAAAAAAAAAAAAAAAAAAAAGAACTCACAACTCCATTTGGCCCTGTGTCTCACATAAGGGCTATGGCTGAAGATCAGGTATCTGAAAGGCAGGAGCAAGGAGAAACTTGTCCAACGTCACAAAACAGGCAAGTGAGGATGCAGGTTCCATACCCTGGATCTAATGGCCAAACAGTTTTTAACCACTGTACATTTTAGAAAGGAACCCCAGAGAAGGTAGGTGACTTACCCTGGATCATACAGCTAATAGGTGACCAAATCAATACCATAATTTAGGATTTTGGGTTCCCAAATCCAGAATTATTTTCACAGCCTTTATGAACCAATGGGGCAAGGGATGGAGGCCTTCACATAGACTAGCCACCTGGGCCATCTACATTCAGTAGATATGGTTTCTTTTGTATAACCAGATTTTTCTTACTGTGATTGCTGTCCTACAGCTACAAGGTTACTCGTGGGATGCTCCTTAGCAGTCTTAGGACCGTCCCTGCTAACTTAGACACTCATGTGTGCTAGAGGGCAGCACCACAGGACCCGCTATTGTTAGAGCAGCAAATCCACCTTCGGGGGAAGGGTGGCTTGGAGAATAATTTCCACATGTATGTTGGATCTAATGTTGACCATCCACTCACTCCTTGAACCTGAATCTACTGGACATCTGCTGTGATCCTGGCACTGGGGTGCACATGTGGGACAGAGATAAGATCAAGCCCTTGCCCTCAGGGAGCTCACAGTCTCAGTGGGGAAGACAATACTTGTAGTAAAAGTTGTAATAGGGGTTTGTACAGTGGCTGAGCAAGACCTAATTCTGTAAGGAAAGGTACCGTAGGAAACCAAGCTTCTGAGATGCAGCTTAGCAGACAACGGTAAGTTCTGCCAGGTGCCAGGTGCCAGGTGGGGCGCAGATGTAGCCCAGGACACAGACTTGTCTTCAGAGAAGGGCGTGGTGGGAGCTGACACTTTGCCTGGCTAGCCAGGAGACTGAGGTGACTGCTCTCTTATTAGATAGGAAATTGAACGCAAGTCCCTACCCGAGGTTTCCAAGTGCTTTGTCTGTGGCAGAGCTGTCTTCTCCCATCCCGTTCTGAAAAAGCACGCAGGCTACAGGATACTGTACTGTACCATACAAGCCATGAGATGTGACTTTCATATACCAAGATGCTTGAAAATTGTGCAACTTAACGATGCAGATGGCTTCCAGCTTATCCTATCTGTTTCCAGAAAAGAAAAATACAGCAAATTCCCCATTCAATCAAGAAAAAAAGAAAACTAAAACAGAAACCACAGAGAACAGGCAATCGTTACTTGGAAAATCTGGCAGAATCATTTGATTAACAGGTTTATTATTATTATCTGGAAACAGGGTCTCATGAATTCCCCAGGCTGGGTGACCCTGAACTCCTGATCCTCCTGTCTCCACTTCCCAATTACTGAGGTTACAATTGTGCATCTATAACTTCATGATTTTCTCTTAACAAAATCAGCTTAGACTGGGGTCACTTGGCCATTTATTGCCTTCCCAACCAAAACGCTCACATCTCTTAGAGGCCATCATTGGCTTGGCTCTGCAGATAGGTTCAGTATAATCTTTAAGGTAGTTTTAGTGGAAGGGCTTAGGCTGCTCCCCCTCACCCCTGGCACAAAGGTTGCTTTCCCTGGGTAGATGGAGAATCCCTGCTTCTACAGTCCCGTGTCACTCTGTAGGGCTTGTGCTTACCACGTCTTGGAGAAAGTCTGGTGAGTTTTACAAGTGTTTCCCATGTTTGTGGATGTGCCATCAGCACAGAAGGCAAGCTGGTGTTTTCAGATGCTCTTTTCCTTGACACAAAGCACATCCAGGAAGGCCTAAGCCCTGGTCACTTGAAGAAGGCCAAACTCATGTTTTTCTTCACGCGGTACCCCAGTTCCAACCTCCTGAAAGCTTACTTCCCTGATGTTCAGGTAAAGTCACACATTGTGTCTCAGCCTCTCTATAACTCCGCAGTCGCTGTGTGTTTTGCCCAGTGTGAGGCAAGTCCTAGGTCTTCACTGCCCTTCACGCTATTGATGGAACTGGTGCTATTTCCAGTTCTGAGACTGTCTGGAAAAGTCATGGCTCTCCTTATACTATGAAAAGGTTGGGGGTTCCAGAATGCTTAGCCTTTGAGCAGTAGATAACCCAGAAGCGCATGGCAAGCTTGGGGGGGGGGATGATAGTATTGAGTGGACTCTTTGGTCTAGTAATTACTCTTTGGTGGGGACCTTTGAGAAATAATAAATGGGGCTGGAGGGATGGCATTGCTCCTGGAGTAGATCCAGATTTGGGTCCCTGCACCTGCATGGCAGCTCACTGCCATCTCTAATTCTGGTGCAGGGGACCTGATGCCCTCTTCTGGCCTCTGCAGGCACACATGCATGTGGTACACAGACATACATGCAGGTAAAACACTCACGCATAAATAAAAATACGTTTTTTAAAACTGGGGGTTGAACCCAGGGCCTTGGGCCTGGAAGGCAAGAGTTCTACCACTGGACTATTGCCCTAACCTAAATCTTTTTTTTTAAAGAATGAAAATAGTAAGGAAATAGGTACAGTGGTGCAGCACATGTCTAGTATGCATAAAGACATGGGTTTGATCCCCATTCAAAATATGTATAAGACATCAAACTTACATCCAGACCAAGTGTGCTGGTAAGGAAAATCAATCTGCATGTTGGAAGCAAACCCTGCCTGTACCACAGGTGGTTTCTGAGATCCACTACTCTAAGTTGTGAGGTAGGGGCTCTTAATACTTTGGATAAACCTCAAGCATGTAAATCCCCACGGCAGACACTGATTCAGATTTCCAGTTGTCAGGAATCTGCTCTCTGATCTACACCTTTACCATCCATTCCCCTTTGGACCCTTACTCTTCCTGGCTCTGGGGCCCAACCCAAAGTCATGCTTAGACACATGGACAATAGCCTAAAAGTCTAGTACATAAACTCTATTTTCTAGTGAGTGTAGGAGTTTTGAGTCTAACTGCACAGTGTTGGCCAGCACCTGTGGCTCCCTTTTCTGAAGGAGAAATGGTTGATGATTGAAGCCATTCACATTAGATTGTGAGCACCCATGACAAATGTGTGACCTGATGAACTCCTTGTTCACACAGTTCAACCGCTGCATCACCTCCCAGATGATCAAGTGGTTCAGCAACTTCCGAGAGTTTTATTACATCCAGATGGAGAAGTATGCGCGGCAAGCAATTTCAGATGGTGTCACAAACCCCAAAATGCTGGCGGTTCTTCGTGACTCAGAGATTTTTCGAGTTCTCAATACACACTATAACAAGGGGAATGACTTTGAGGTAAGATGATTTCTCTGAATGGTCAGCTCTCTGAAAGCATGCCCTGTGTGTCCTTAAGTCACTTAGAATTACAGCAGCCAGAGAGCAATGTCCGCATCACCAACAAAGATTCTAGCCTCCTAATCGTCCTCCAAGCAACAGGTGGATGAAACAAACACAGCCAGCCTGATCAAATCCTGGTTGGCCAGGATTTTACCATCCTGGACTCTGTAATCACCAAGTTACAGAGACTGTTGACCTTTTTGCCTCCATGCCAGGCGGTGTAGCACCAATTGCTGGGCTGTGGTGTAGCATCTACTTTTCACCTGGGTTTTCTGACAATTTCTGGCCTTACTAACACATGGCTCTTGAATTCTCTCAGTTCTTTATGTGTGGCAAATTCAAATTCTTTCTGGATATAACAAGGCTGAAGAATTCCAAACTCTTGGAGCCTCCATGAAGGTGCATGGTGGTGCCTTAGAGCCTAAGTGTCAAGTGGCATGGGTAGGCTCGTAGGCGGCTGGTGGCAGGTGTCCAGTGTGTCTGGTCACAGGCTGCTTTTCTTTCTTCTTGCTTTTCTCACTGTGATCACAGGAGTTTATTGATTCCTTCAAGAATCAATAACTGGTTTCCGTTTGGAAACTGAAGCCTATCTATGGGAGAGGAAAGGGTTAGAGACAGTGTGAGGTCGCAGCACTGTTCTATCCTTCCATGTGGGGATGATCATTTGTAGGCAGTGGCAGCAATTCCCCACCCAAGCTGCATCTGGAAGACCTGTGGGACATCCTATCTCCTATGGTGCCAGTTTGGGTGAAGGTCCTGGACCAGTCCCTTCAAATGGCTTTGGAAACAGGGATTTAAGCCCTTGGGGTCTGAGCCCTACAGGATGGTGGGGTAGGGAATGGCAGTCAGAAGCTCTTTCTCACAGCAGGTCCAGGGAAAAGAACGCTCCAGCCTCTCATTTCCCTCCGATTCATTCCTGCTTAGTTACTAAAACATGCCTAATTGGTGGAATGAGTAACTCCTGTAAGTCTCCAGTACTTTGCTCCCAAGACTGTCTCTCTAGATGGTCATCTAAGGTCTGTGCTTCACAAGAGAACAGGGCCGTCTTGGGCTGCAGAGCAGGGATACTCTAAGCCAGCAACAGGCATCGTTGCCAGAGGGCTTGCCTGGTGCCGGTACTTCCAGCCTCATTTCCTCCTTTTCTTGGGGGTGTCTTTGGGGATGCAGGTCCCAGACTGCTTCTTGGAAATTGCCACCTTGACATTACAGGAGTTCTTCAAGGCTGTCTCCGCAGGGAAAGACACAGATCCTTCCTGGAAGAAACCCATTTACAAAATTATTTCAAAACTGGACAGTGACATCCCAGAGATACTCAAATCTTCCAACTATCCCCAGGAACTGTTTCGAAGTTAAGAGAAAAAAAAATGAGGCCAAGTACAATGTCCTGTAATTTCAATCCTTGGGAGGTGGAGGCAGGAGGATGAGGAATTGGGCAGCCTTGGCTACACAGACGATCAAATAAAATGAGCAGACTGGCCCAGGATGGCCCAAGATCTGTCATAACTGACAGTCTAGCTGCAGTCATGTAAGCGGTCGGGCACAAGAGGACCCCCTCCCATGGATATAATCACCATTTTGAATACTCGTTTCCTTATCTAGAATCATCAAAGACTTAACCTTAACCACAGTGAATTAACTATGCCCATTGGTGTGCTAGTCGTATACTGGCAAAAAACCACAAGTTTGGCATCAGAAGACTTAAAACCAATGCCATTGTCATCAAGTGCTCTGACGATGATAATTTCTGGTATTTCTGCAACTCTAAAAGGAGATTCAGCCAGGTGGTGGTGGCACCCAGGAGGTAGAGAGTAACCTAGTCTACAGTTCCAGGTTAACCAAGGCTACACAGAGAAACCCTGCCTCGAAAAGCCAAAAACCAAATACATAAAACCAAGAAATTTTGAACCGTGGTAACTCACTGATCCTTCCGCCAGGGAACTGGATTGGTCAGGAGTGTGGAGGAACCCATGACCATGTAAGCTGAACTTGTGCTGCCACTCAGGATCTCAAACAGGAAGAAGTCACACCAACAGGGCACCCGCAAAGTGGCACTGTCACCTGGCAACTGTGGCACTCAGGAGTGCCAGCACCAACTTCTTAGGGGACCGTGGCACTGCTGTTGTTTGCATCTGTCTGCTGGGACAGTATGTCAGCAGCAATCCTGACAGTCCTACCTGACTATGTAACCATGTCCCAGCTGCCTGTGATAGAAAAAAGATGGAACTTCATGATGAGAAAGCCACAAAGGGCCCTTGCAGATCAGCTGGTCTATCATGTGTAACTCGTGGAAGAAACAGGTGATCACAGGCTGTACAGGACCTCACAGACCATGAATGGCACGGTTTGGACAAATGAAGAAATGGAGGTTTTCCTACTCCAAAATGATTATAGTCCATGACAGAACTCCCACAGATGAACAAATATCACCCATCTTTTTTCCCTATGGGTGTAATACAGTTTGAGACTCTGGTGTCTAGGCAAGGCGCCTATAAAGCTGAACCCAGTGGGGAAGCGCTGAAGGTGGACAGGGTGGAGGTTACTTCAGGTTTCATAGTGCTGAATAAGGGGCAACTGTGCCTGCAGTAGCTCCCTTCCCTGCCACCAATACAGAGCAAACTCCCCACCTAGCTACTCTACCTTCATGACTTTATGGACAGGGTGCTGACGATTGCTAGACATGTCAGAATGCACTGGTATGAAAAATGACTTTCCTCTGAATTTTCTGTTCACATAGTGGAGAAAAGAAACAAAACATACTTCACCAAAATTAATCCTTACAGATTCGGAAGGTTTTGGGTGTTTGTTTTCCTGGATCTTGAACCTAAGGCCTCCTTCCCTCTTGCTAAGCACATGCTTTATCATTGAACTACACTCCCTCCTGAGAATTTTGTGTATATGATCTTTCGAGACAGGGTCTATGTAGTCCTGGCTGTCCTTGACCTCCCAGAGATCTGCCTGCCTCTGCCTCCAGAGTGCTGGGATTAACGGTGTGCACCACAGCTGGCAAGTCTTAATTGAAATGGCCCTCAATATACCTAATTGTATACAACCACTGCTCTAATTTCTTACGGACTTCACAAGGCTCCCCTTGATCAAAATCAAGGACTTTGGCAAACCTGTTTTGAACATCAGCAAGCACTGAGTAGGCTGTGCAAGGGCATCAGTTGTTTGGAAACAGAATGGCCCTCTCTCTAGAGCAATATTACACAGCTATTAAGACATTCATAGGAAACAACTCCAAGTCCATATGCTTGTCCCTGTCCCAAACCCGAACTTCATTTGTCTGTCTTTAAACCTTGAGTCAAGCCATCTCTGGGGCATTGAACTTTATTTATCCTGAATTCTAATTGGAAGAAAAGCACACTAGCTCAAATGGAAAACATTTGTGCACTGCAGTCATGCCAGGAAGCCTTCTCTAACCACTGAGCTGCACACAGAAGAATGTATAAATATGTATGCTCTGCCAGCCCAAGAATTCTTAGTCCACTTTTCTGTTTCTCTCAAGTTTTTTGTCAGTGTTTGGAACTTATTGTGAGTGTGAGCTGAGCCAGTTGTAATGTTCTTTCGGCAGTCATAACATTGCCAAAGGTCTGGTCATTTTTTCCATTAAGGTATATGTGGGTGCTGATCTATCTCCAGTCAGACACACTCAAGAGTCTGGTCAAGGGCTGCACAATGCTGTGATCTTTCAGTGGCTGACAACAGGCGTGGGCTGTGGGCTGTGCTGCATTACCTATGGAGAGTAGGCAGTTCTCTGGCATTCCACACATAAAAGGTACACTAGGGACCTTCTTGTTTATGCTAAATTACCTATGAAGAGCAGGCAGTTCTCTGGCATTCCACACATTAAAGGTACACCAGGGGCCTTCTTGTTTATGCTGAGGCAAGTCTGTGGAGTCCTGGTTGGCCTAGAGTAAGTCACATAGAACAAGCTGGCTTCAAACGTGCAAGGCTTCTCCTGCCTCTCTGCAGTGGGGGTTATAGGCATGCACCACCCTGCCTGACATCAGAGCCTTTATTTCAAACATTTTCATATAAAAATTCCAGACCAGATTCAAACAGTAGGAAGCCAAAGGCACCTCCTGAGCATATAAGTGCCTGATTCATATTTATTTTTTATCAAAGTAAGGGCAGAACATAAATGGCAGAGATAAAACAATATTCTTTAATAAAGGGCTATACCCTGACTTTACTATGGACATGCTATTTCCAGAAAGGGTCTTATTGTGTAACCCTGGCTAGCCTGGAACTATTTAATGCCTTCCAAGCTCTGGGATTAAAGTGTGCACCACTATGCTTAGCTTGGATGTCCATTTTCAGAACAGTGTCAGGGATGAGAACAGCTCAATTGAAATGTGCTTGTCCAGCATGTACAAGGCCCTGGGTCCCAGCACAGGTTTGCACACACCTGGAAATCCCAGCACTTGAGAATCAGAAGGATCGTAAATTCAAGGCCACTCTTGGCTGCATAGTAAGTTGGAGGCCAGTCTGGGCAAGTTCCAGACCAGCCTGAGCTATGTTAAGTTCTTGTCTCCAGCTGGGCAGTGGTGGTACACACCTTTATTTCTAGCACTCAGGAGGCCAGCCTGAACAAATTCCAGGACAGACCCTCAAGCCACAGAGAAACCCTGTCTCAAAAAACGAAACAAACAGAAAAAAAGAAATAAGTATTTTCTCCTCCTGTTTCCTGGCCTCTGTGGTTCACTCCTCTCTTCAGATTTATTTGTCTAATACAAGAACATGTCTCTCCCTTTGCCACCTACTTTCCTCCTCAGGGGTTTGACTTAATGCTGTCCCTCTTCTTTCATTTTCTCACTCAGTATCTCTCCTTGGAAGACTATGCCCGGGTACCTACCAACCACAGCCTTGTAGCTTACCTACTGTCTTGGCATCAGCTTTGCCATTTATTAAGGGAACTCCTAGTACTGCCTGCCTTAGGTTTGGGGAAAACATTGCATGTGACATATTTAACACCCCGGTGCATGATATGTTCCCAGCAAATGTCAGCGATGTTGTCATTCAGCTGTGAGTAAAATCACACATTCGCACTGCTTTCCATGGCAAAGAAGTGAGTGGCACACATATGTGGAAGCCCAGTGTTAGTGTATCTATGACGTAACATGTACTAATGTGTTCTATGCAGTGTAAAACTTGGCTTTGAACAAATGTCAATACATTGTAAGGGTGAAGAAACTGCTAAAGCCACGCATTGCAAACTTCATGAATGCTTTCACGTTTCCTTATTTCAACCCTATATTGTGCTTGTCATGTTTGCTAGCTCATTTCTAAAACTTATCTTTTATATATAGAACAATATAACCCACTGAATAGCTGACATCCTTTTAATTATAGGCTTAGTGTATTTCTAAGATTATATATAGTGGCTGGGGAGATGGCTCAGTGGTTAAGAGATGTGAATGATCTTCCAGAGGACCTGGGTGCAATTCCCAGCACCCACATGTTGGCTCACAACTGTCTGCAACTACAGTTCTAGGGGCTCTGATACCCTTTCACAGGCAAAACACCAATCACATAACAATAAAATTAAAAAAATAAATCCACCTTTAATAAGGTCCATTGAGTAGACTTTTTTTTTTCAAAACAGGATTTCTCTGTGTAGCCTTAGCTCTCCTGGTCTGGAACTCAAAGATCCACCTGCCTCTGCTTCCCAAGTGATGGATTAAAGGTGTAAATAGACTGTTTTTAACTTGAATGGTTCCCTGGTTAACTTCTGTAGATATTCACAACAAGTGCACAGTTATTTTACTCTAAAAAGCTGTATCTTTTTAAAAAAGTATTTCTTTCTTTTGAGACAGGGTCAGTCTATGTAGTCCCAACTGGCTTCAAACTCATCTGCCTTTGCCACCCAAGCACTGGAATTAAAGGCATGTGCCATCATGCTGGCTTATGGAAGGCATTTTTAATCTTGGTTTTTTGTGTCCCCACCTCCAAGTCTGATTCTCCCTGTGCATAAGCTCTTTTGGGACATGAAGTATATCTGGAATCTGACTCTTGGATAATAAGTGAACCTTAAACTTTTGTTTTTCTGAGACAGGGTTTCTCTGTGTAGCTTTGTATACCAGGCTTGTCTCGAACTCACAGAGATTCACCTGCCTCTGCCTCCCAAGTGTTGGGACTAAAGGCATGTGCCTCCACCACCCGGCTAAAACATTTTTTCTTTTAAAGGTTTATATTTTAAAATTTATTTTTATGAGCACTGACATTTTTGCCTGCATGTATGTCTGTGCAAGGGTACCAGGCAGTTGTGAGCTGCCATGTGGGTGCTGGGAATTGAACCTGAGCCCTCTGGAAGAGTAGTTGGTGTGGTGCTCTTAACCACTGAGCCATCTCTCCAGCCCCCAACATTTATTTGTTGAAACAAAATTTCAGGTAGTTCT